ATGTATCGCCTTTGACATTGGAGTTTAATTGCAGGGAACACATGCCATTGTTTTTACCTATTTTACAATCTTACTACATGCTACTATTAATAATTTAATTAAACATATCTATATACAGATGAGGAGAGGCTGGCAGGAAAGAGATTCCTGGTCTTTCACTGACCTCATTCATGCAGAATGTAGAGAGGTTTCAGTTATTTATTAACATATTCTTTATATGCCATTTCCCTCCTTATTGCAATGGAAATGACTCTATTTACATGCTACCACACACATCTTCCCAAAAATTAGCCTTCCAAAATTGGAGTGCATGTTCTAAGCAGGGAAGCTGATGCCTGTGCTGGAATGGAAGCAGAGAGGCATTGGAATGGCTGTCAGGAGCTGTGGTTCCTTCCCAGCCAGCACGCAGCAGGGGTAGAGTCCATTCTTCAGCATTGGAACTAGATTTTTAACCCTCTCACAGCCACTGCTCAATTGGAAGTAGGTTTTGGCCAAGCAGACAAAAATTGCTGCTAATTCAGCAGCAACTGTGAGCTGCTCAGCTAAAAGCCAGAGCCTCCAGAGAAAGGCGAGCAATGCTGAAGAGTAAACTCTTCCCCTGTTCCATGTGGTCAGCATTCAGCCTTGCCTCTAGAAAAAGCTTTATTTCTTTGCTCTGCAGTCCCAAAACACAGTATGTGTCTTATTTGGGGGAGTGTGGTATGCAAGAAAATATGGCGTATAGATTGGTTTTCTTTTAGGCCATCATGTTCTAGGTGCTCTATGAAGGCCAGATAGGAATGACAGAATGTATTTCTGCCAGACTTCCCAAGTAAGAACTCCTAAGATGTGGGTTAAAAGCTACAAACATATATGTTTAACTTGTGGGGATCACACTTTTGGATGCAAGTTTTATAAAGTGCGTCCTCCTGACAATATAGAACTTTCATTTTGCTGGAGTTTAACTGCAGACACACTTTCCTATCCACATATGGATCTCACATAAGCGTTACACTTATGCATATGAGGTTTGACATTATTTTGTGAAGGATGGAAATGTGTTTTATCACATACTGCTAACACTTGATCCAGTGAAGTTACATTTTTTTGTAATGAGACCATTCTGCAACTGAACTGCCACTCTCCAGCATCAGTCCAGTGGTGGCCTGAGACCATTCTGCAACTGAAAGTCCAGTAGCAGCTGTATAATTTCCATCCATAATTCTCTGGGGACATCCACCTAAGAAAAATGTAATTTTTGAGTGCATCTTCTTTGACTCCCCTACCTCACTCCCTCAGTTTGGTTTGATCATGTTGAATGTTGCAGAATGTCCAGGGATAAAGAGAATGCATGTCTGTCTTCCATTCATCAACAGCAGACAATCTATTCCACTTGAATTGGTTTCTGACCAATTCATATTCTATCCTGAATCTCCACTGAGCAAAGCAAATAGTGTCATCATTGTTTAAGCTTCCTTGAAATCTCAGGTAAAAACCTCTATATTTTTGTTTCCAGATTCTTTCTGAGCCTTGTGATTTCTTCCCTGTGTATCATAACTAATTAATTCCTCCCATTAAAAGCCTTGTCATCACTTTGGCAGTTCTCATCTTAATTACTGGTATTTCCTCCTCTCTATTGCTTCCTTATAGCTTTATCTATGCTCTATTCTACTCTAGATTAATTCCTGGATTCTTCCTTAATTCTTCACCTTCCACTCTAAGCCCTTCTCGTATCTCAGCACTGACTTCTCATCTTTTAGTTCATCGGTCAGATTCCACACCCTCACTGAAAAACTTCATAATCCCTGCCCGCAGCTCTGCTCCAGTTTCCTCCTACTCTCTACTCCTAATCTCTTCACCATCGTTACATGCTTTTGCACTCCCTGTTGCACCATGTGTTTCAGTTCTTATTTAATTGTAATCTCTTTGCAGCTGAGGCCTTGCACTGTGTATGTTATAAAGTACTGTGTGTAATTTAAAAATAAATATATTAATAATATGAGAATCCAAGGGAGGTTCTAAATTATGAAATAATAATTATATCCTTTGCTGAGTGAGATATGTTGGAAGCAGACTTGTTTATACTAAATAAGTTCCTAGGGCAAAGCCTAGGAAGCATTTAACCCTGATTGTCTGGGCAGTTCTGTTTTTGTTCAACTCTTGAGAAATCAACACTGTAAACAAGGCCCTTTTGTTTACAGGAGTAGTTACTAAAAGTTCTGTGTTGTTTTTCTCACTTAATAATCAGCCAGTAGAGGTCTACACGCTCCATAGCATAGTCCCTGATTTGCAGAAATGCTGAGCAGCATTCCCTCCATCTGACAGCAAGGGGCTCTCAGCACCACCTCTGGTGGGTTTCCCAACAGCCCCCCACTGACGCCAAAGATATAAAATTACCATTCCTGGAAACAGGGTCCCAGTTCTGACTCCACGTGACACCCACAAGGACCCAGACCAGCCTTGAAATGAGAAGAAACAATTGATAGCAGCATCGTTTAATTGCACGCTATTTTTTCCCCAGATCCATTGGTTGCAAGCATTTTCAAGGAGATTTTGTTTGATGGCAGGAGCTGTTCTTCATGGGGATAAGGCTGGAGAGTGGTGGTTCTCCAGCAGGGGCACTTTAACAGGTTCTGTGGCTCATGGCAGGTGTCAGGTTGGCAGGGGCAGATCTGGAGGGTTGTAGTAATGCAACTGCACCTCCTTTTGAGTGTAGATCTACTGCAAGTTTAAAACCATTTGGCTGGCAGTGGCAACAACACTGCAAGAGGGAATCACTTGAGTTCATGGCTCTTTGCTATCTACCCGATTCCTTCTAAACTCTTCAACAATTCCCTTTTCCTTCATATTGTTTTCCCCCAAAATGGGTTTAATGTTATGCTAATCAAGCAATTATTTTTTCTGCAATTCTGCTCTTCTCTGCTCCTTTCACAGCCCCGCAGCCTGATTTTTAACTCCAGATAAAACCATTGCTTCAGGGGTGGAAACATTAATTCTGGTGACCACCAACCCAGGTGTGAGAATCGTTTCTCAGTGGCGCACTGGATGCAGTGCCAGGGGGTCCGGGATGGCTGGCTTTCATTTCAGGATGGACAGTGAAGGGTGGTTGAGTGTGAGGCCTGCAGGGCTAAAGCAAAGCACTTCTGGGTGAGGTTTTGCACCCGGGGGGTTGTGTTTCTGCACCCAATAAAGGTTGTAGCTTCCGCTAGGGTTTGGGTTTGGTGTGGGGGCGGGATCTGAGGCTGACTGGCCCACCGGCCTCTCGGTGAAGCTTCTAGCTTCTTTTTACGTGGAGAAAAATGTGCGGTGGCGAGCGGCTGCACCCCTCTGTCTTGGACCTGCCCCTGCAGGCACGATACTACAGCCCTTATCGCGCGTGCAGTACAGTGCCATCTCGGAGCTCCCCGCCAGGGGGCGCCCCTCTTCCCCGCGCCGCCGCCCCGGGCGCTGGCCACCCCCCGCCCGGGCTCGCCTCCCGGCACGGCCGACCAATGGCTTCGCTCGTCCGCGCGTCGCGGACCAATCGGGAGGCCACGGCACTGCTATCCCCCCCCTTCCCTCTGCCC